TAATCCCAGCACTCGGGAGGCAGAGGCAGGCGGATCTCTGTGAGTTCGAGGCTGGGCTGGACCGATAGCCTCCAAAACAATACAGAGAAACTCTGTCTCGAAAAAAAACCAAAAAAAAAAAAAAAAAAAGATGCATGGCAGAGTTCTGGAGAGGATGCCCTTACACAGAAAAAGTTCCAAAAATTCTCCATGGGGACCCTTTAGCGTCTCTGTCAGATAGTACGGTGCACACGTGTAGTGTGCAAGCCCATGAGGACAGGGAAAAACAAGAACGGGTTGGGAGCTGGAGTTCCCAGATTTAATACAGGGCATGTAATTCCAAAATTCCAGCATTCAGAGAACCGGATGTGTGGTTTATGCCTGTAATCCCAGCATACTGGAGGCTGAAGCAGGACAGATAGGTAGCTTGGGAACAGCCTGGGGAAATTAGACACCATTTCAGACTTTGTTTACACTGTAAACAGGTGTCTCTGCTTAAGGCACCTTCTGAATGGTTTAATAAAGAGCTAAATGGCTCCCTTAGAGTCCTTGTTTCCTAGCTTCTCTGGTGGTGTGAATTGTAGGCTGGTAATCCTTTGCTTTATGTCTAAAATCCATATATGAGTGAGTACATACCATGTTTGTCTTTTTTGTGTCTGGGCTACCTCACTCAGGATGGTTTCTTCTAGTTCCATCCATTTGCCTGTAAATTTCAAGATTCTATTGTCCCGTCCCCCCCCCCCCATTGGGGAAGTCCTGTGCATTTGTCAATAAAGCACTGTCTGGCCACACTTTTTAATTGGATCCTTTGGTGTTTTGGTGACTAGCTTCTTGGGTTCTTTGTGTATTTTGGAAATCATTCTCTGTCAGATGTGGGGTTGGTGAATATCTTTTCCCATTCTGTGGGCTGCCATTTCGTCTTGTTGACTGTGTCCTTTGCCTAACAGAAGCTTCAGGAGATCCCGTTTATTAATTGTCCATCTCAGTGTCTGTGCTACTGGTGTTATGTTCAGGAAGCAGTCTCCTGTACCAATTCATTCAAGGGTACTTCCCACTTTCTCTTCTAACAGGTTCAGTGTGGCTGGATTTATGTTGATGTCTTTGATCCATTTGGATTTAAGTTTTGTGCATGGCAATAGATATGGATCTATCTGCAGTCTTCTACATGCCAGCATCCAGTTATGGTAGCACCATTTATTGAAGATGCTCTTTTATTCATTGTATAAAATTAGCTTCTTTGTCAAAAATCAGGTGTTTGTAGGTGTGTGGGTCCTTATCAGGGTTTTCAATTCGATTCCTTAAGACCTGAGCTAACTGGGAGCACAGGGGCAGGGGAGAGGGAGTTAGGAGAAAGAGAAGGGGAGAAGAGGAGGACATGAGAGAGCAGGAAGATCGAGTCTGGGAAAGAATAGAGGAGAGCAAGAAAAGAGATAACATAATAGAGGGAGCCAGTATAGGTTTGAAGAGAAATCTAGCACTAGGGAAATGTTCAGAGATCTACACAGGTGACCTCAACTAACAATCTAAGCAATAGTGGAGAGGTTACCTTAAATGCCCTTCTCCAATAATGAGATTGATGTCATCCTAGAGCCTTCATCCAGTAGCTGATGGAAGCAGAAGCAGACATCCACAGCTAATACACTCAGCTGAACTCTGGAATCCAGTTTCAGACAGTGAGGAGTGATGAACAAAGGGATCAAAACCGGGCTGGAGAAACCCACAGAAACAGCTGACCTGAAAAAGGGGGAGCTCATGGACCCCAGACTGATGGCTGGGAAACCAGCATAGGACTGTTTCAGACCCCCTGAACATGGATGTCAGTTTGAAGTCTGGTTAATCTATGGGGCCTTTCTGGTAGTGGATCAGTATTAGTCCCTAGTACACAAATGTACTTTGGGAGCCCACTCCACATAGAGGGAAATTCAGTCTAGACACACAGGGGAGGGTCTAGGTCCTGCTCAAAATGAGACTTCGAAGATCCCCCATGGAAGGTCTCACCCTCCTTGGGGAGCAGAAAGGGGATGGGATAGAGGTTCGGTGGGGGTCAGGGAGGAGAGGAAACTTGGATTGACATGTAAAGCAAGCTTGTTTCTAATTTAAATTACAAAGGAAAAACAAAACAAGAAGAGCTAAATGGCCAATAGCTAAGCAGGAGAGAATAGGTGGAACTTGTGGGCACAGAGAGAGAAATGGGGAGGAGGAAATCTAGACACTCATTTCTCAGATGTGCCTTATTAAGAAGAGCTAACTGAGCTATGTGGCAGATCGTAGATTTAAAAAAATATGGGTCAATTAAGTTGTAAGAGCTAGTTGGGAAAAAGCATAAGCTAAGGCCAAGTCTTTGTAAATAGTATTAAGTCTGTGTGTCATTATTGGGAAGCTGGTGGTCCAAAGTCCCAATTTGAAAAAGCTTATTAGAAGACCCTGTCCAAACACCTAGCATAGAGTGGAGGAGCCCTCACTAACAATACCTTAGAAGTAATCCTGGAAGGACCACACCTTCCTACTGGAGCCAAACTATCCTCAGAGTGAGGGCTACTGTGCATCTTTCCAAACAGAGCTAAGGAAAGTATGTCAAAGAGCAAGCTAAACCTAACACAGTTCCTCATGAGAACAAAGCCTAGCACATCCCTTTCAAGAAATGCATTTAACATTTGTCAGATTTATTGTGGGTCTTCTGTTACTTTAGTATGCTAAGGAATTTCTTTCTTTTAATTTCTTTCTGTTCTAATTCAACAGCCACTTTCATCATAATGGAATTCTTAAAAATATTTCATTATTTACGTACCTGTGCATGTGTATGGTGTGTGTTCACATTTATACAAGCAGAGGTCAGAAGAGGGCATTGGTATTGCCTCCACCATTTTTTTTTTTTTTTTTTTTTTTTTTTTGTTCCTCTGAGGCAGGGATTCTTCTTGAACCTGGGGCTTGAGTCTCTGTTAGGTTGGAAGTGCTTCAGTGACCCTCCTATTTTTGTCTTTTTTGGTCCTGGGATTATAGACATTTGTGGGGGAACACCTAATTTATTTAATGGGTGCTGGAATCTGAACTCTGTCCTGTACAGTTGTGGAGCAAGTGTTATTGTTAAGTCTGGCCTCTAACCACTAAACTTAGTTTTTCTACACTTTGAGATAATGTAATGTATGTATGTATGTATCTTTAATAAGTTTTAAAAATGTCATCCAACCTTGAATTTCTAGAATAAGTCTTCACTGGTCACAAAACAGTGTGTTGTGTTGCTGGATTAGTTTTCTAATATTTTTCATCTTTGGTCTGAAGATTGCCTGATTAATAATATTTTAAATATATTTTCCAGAATTAAAGATCTATTTTTATGTGTATGTGAGTTTGCTTGTGTGTGAGTCTGTATGTGTGTGAAGGGGGCTGTGGAGGCCAGAGGTAAGAGTGAGTCACCATGTACTTGCTGGGAAGCAAAACCAGTCCTGGGTAAGAGCTGTATGGACTCCTAAATGATAGTCAAGGATAAATTTTTAGTCTCTAATTCTCCTGCCTCTACCTTGGAAATGCTGTACACTAAGTATATATAGTACGAGTAACCAAACCCAGGACTTCATGTACCCAGCCAAGTGCATTATCAACTATTGCTACCTTGCAGATTTTAAATGTTTTATGCTAAACTTCTTTGGCTTCTTCACAGTATTATTGGGAACTCATGGTCACATAGTCAGTCTTTGGGTCACTCTTAACTACAAGCATTTAATAAGCAGAGCATCGCTGCCATCTGGTGGAAATGCCTACTGTTAGCACACTGAAAAAGGTCACTGTGCTCCAGCCAAGCCACTAAAGAAATCAATCGGCCCCGCAATTTCTCACTGCAACTGTCAAATTCGTACCTTTATTTCCCTCCACTCACTACTACCTTAGTTCAGTATCTAACTCTGTTATTTGGCTAAAATCACTACTTTGAAACAGGCCCCGATTCCACTTTAGATGTAGACATTCTGGAATGAGCAGTATGCCTAGAGGTAAGAATAAAATAGAAGTTCAATGAATGCTAGTTGAATTTTAAAAGCACTCCATTCCCTAAACTTACCTGGGAGGAAGCAAAAGCATACTAATTGCTATGCTTCCCCTGTATGAACAGACTGATAAATGGCTCTCACACACATTGTCTTGTGGGGTTTGCCCAGAAAGCTTAAAACTTAAACCAATGACATTGGAAGAATAACCACAGGGCAAGGGGTGGGAGGGCAAACATAAATAAACCCGGGATCAAAACAGACCATACCATACTGGAGAGTGAGTAATTGCTTTAAGGCCTAGCATGCCAGCAGATGTTCCCCGCTGGGTCCTGCTATGACTTCTTTCTCTGTGTTAAGATCTGGTTTAAGAATTCCAGTGCTCAGAGAGGCCAGTTTGGTCTACAGGACAGCCAAGGCTATGCAGAGTGACCCTATCTCAAAACACCCAAACTGATTACAATATGGGAGGATATTTTTTTTTTGTCCTGCTAGATATTATTTGTATTTTGCATTATTCTGTAATTTGCCTGATAAACACAAATCACAAAGCATCCTTGAAAAATCTTGTAGATTGGCCGGGCGTTGGTGGCACACAGCTTTAATCCCAGCACTCGGGAGGCAGAGGCAGGCAGATCTCTGTGAGTTCGAGGCCAGCCTGGTCTACAAAGTGAGTTTCAGGACAGCCTCCAAAGCTACAGAGAAACCCTGTCTCAAAAAACAAAAAACAAAAAAAAAAAAAACAAAAAAACAAAAAAAAAGAAAGAAAAATCTTGTAGATAAAATGAAGACTTGGTCTTCTCAGTAATTTTAAAACAATGAGCAATGCCTACTTTTTCATTATTTAGAATGGTTCCCACATTACACAGTGACATGTACTTAAGATACTATAGATCAAAACAGGATATCCTTTTGGTCTCCTGATAGGCTGGGGGCTTTAAAAAAAAGAAAGCCTAAATCTAAGAAGGCAACAGAAGAAAAACTTTCATTTGGAATCTCAGCAGTCTCCTGGCAATCTACAGTAACGCATTAACACACACAGAGCCAAATGTTTGTTTTATTGATTTCTTGGGTGTGGTGTGGGGTGGTGCGGTGGTGGAGAGGGTTAGAAAAAGTTTGTTTCCAGCTTCAAAGGACACTCCCGAGCAGAGACCGTCACCCTCACTATGTGTGGACAGACACTGTTCCTCCACACTGCTTTCAGGACACTTGAATTCTCTGAAACCCAGTGCACTCATCTGGACAGATGGGCACTCCATGGGCTCTAGTTCACAGGTAAAAGGGACTGGCACTTTAGCTTCAACAACAAATTTACAATAAAAAAAAAAAAACACAACTTAAGTTTGACTTGTGGCAGGACAGGTTACTAAGGGACCATTCAGCAATAATGGTCTCGAATATTTAAAGCTAATGAAAATGCATTTAACCAAGGGACTACTGATCCTAAGAACTGTGACATTTGTAAGGAAGGAATTCTATGTTTGGATGTCAAATTCAGAGCAAAGTATCAGTAATTTCACATTGCAATATCTATAAATAAAATACATGGATCAAATAGGATTATAAGAATGTTAAATAGAAAGTGCATATAGAACTCAGGAATACCTTTTCCATTAATTTTGTCACTTATTCTAGTTCAGTAAAATGCTCACAAGGAAAATAACCTCTTAAGGCAGAAGTCTGGTTATAGCGTTGCTGTTCAGAGCTTCATGATATCAAGTGCATGGATATTGATCAACTTCACTGCTTTATACTGGCACTCATCTTGAAACAGGTTATTTTGTAAGATGGAACATCCATGTTATACCTTGAAAAGTCAAGGTAGAAAGGACAACTACAGAAGGTCAGAGGGTTCACCAGAACATCTAGACAGACGTCTGTTTGTAGTTTTTGGTGTCCAGAACCTTTTTGCCACACATGGCACAGATGCCTGAAACAAAAAGGAAACACATAAGCAACCAAGTAGTACCAGCTTTTAGTTTGTTTATGTTAATCTAAACTTAAAACCACTTGACGGGTGTGGAGAGAAGGTTCAGTGGTTAAGAGCACCTACTCTGCAATCATATAAACTAGAGTTTGGAGTTCAACATTCACGTATCTTCGCAAATGCCCATAATTCCAGATCCAAGTGGGGTGAAGACAAGAGGATCCCTGGGGTCTGTCTGCTGGTTTCCCCAGAAAACAGGAGCTACACGTTCAGGGAGAGACCCCCATCTCAGGAAGGATGAAGTAGAAAGTGCAGAGGAAGAAGGCACATGGCAGCCTCTTTTGACTTCTGTGTGCATGCTTAAGTGTGTCTCATGCACATGTACACACACACACACACACACACACACGCACGCGCGAAAGTAGAATCTTTAAGAACTTCACAGCAAAGAAAAAAAGAAATATCCTTTGATTAGAAATATATTTTAAACTCTATTTTGTCTTAGAAAAAAGAAATGTCTGACTAACAATTTATGAAAGGCTACTCTTTTCTGTTATCCAAGTCAACAGCAAATTGAGTAGATTTGATGTAAATAGAAAAGTTAACTTAAAGAAACTTACCTTTTTTGTATGCACAGCCTTGACAGTAATGAGAACCAGGCTGGTGTACAGAACTTTTACAAATTCTGCAAGTGGAGAACTTATTCTTTCCATATGGATCAAACCTAGAAAGTTTAAAAAAGAAAAAAATATTCGTACTACCAAGTCTTCACCTGCGGTAACACCCATGACTAATGTATGCACCATCATTTCTCCCATCAAGTTCTGTAACTGACGGACAGCCCTCCTCTGGCTCACTTCTGTGGAATACGCCTGCACTCCCCTGTCCTGCCATGGAAGCTGTGCATATGAAGAGCCAGTTGTATTTATTTTCAGACCCGCTCCTATCACTTGCAGGTGTCATTGCATTTGTGTGATAAATATGAATATTGATGAAATGTCAGCACAAGGAATGACCGACTGGCTTTACAAAAACCCACGTATCTGTTATAACTACTAATGAACTGGGAATGGGTAAGCCAACCACTAAAACATTAAATACTCTGTGTGTTTGTGTATGCAAGCATGCCACATATGTGCAGTAGCTGTGGGGGCCTGAGGGTTTGGGTCCTCCAAGCTTGGGTTACAGGTGGTTTCGAGCTGACTAAGGTAGATGCTGAGAATCAAGCTCAGGTCATCTGTCCCAGGACCAATTCCTTTCCTTGCCTTTCTTTTATAAATCCAGGCTGGATGACCCTGAACTCCCGATTCTTTTATCACCAGGACCTGAGCACGAGGATCATGGGCACATGCCATCATACCCGGCTTAGTTCTTGGTTCACTGAGGTGCAGAATATATACTCTGGTGATGGTTTATGTGAGGAAAATGATATAAATTCCCATCAGGTTTTACCTCTATACCCAATGGCAGATGAATACATCCACAGTTTATGTGTTAAGATAAAATGTAACAAGCATTTTTAATTCATGGGCCTAATCCCTTTGAATGAAGGGTTTTCTGTTATGTAACATGGTATTCTATAGGAACCATAGGGCAAATAACTTTAGAAGAAATAGTTCTCCCAAAACTGGCAATAATGCTCTAACTTAAAACTGTTTTCCTAGCTCTAAAATGACTACTTATATTTTCTCCGTGTAGCATCAGCCTTGGTATGCTGTCTGGGGTACAGTTCAGGAGCTCCTCTTTTTTTGAAACCTTTTGCCTTCATGTATTTTTATGTGTATAGGTATCTTGCCTGCATTTATGTCTGTGTACCTACCATGTGTGCTGTGCCTGTGGGAGCCAGAAGAGCACCAGATATCCTACTGGAGTTACAAACCCCTGTGAGTCACCACATAGGTGCTGGGAATTGAACCCAGGCCTCTGGAAGAGCAGTCAGTGCTCTAAGCCCTGAGCCCTCTCTCCAGCCCCAGTATTTTCTATATTAAGCAAACCCCTTTGCTTGCTTGTTTTTATTTCTTAAAGACTGAATCTGGTTACATAACCCAGCCAGTCATGGGGTTTCCTGCCCCGCTCCCCACATGATGGGATTACCAGCATGTACCGCCACTGCCAGGCAACAGGCCACTTTTAAAGATTAACCTTCCTAAACTCAAGACCAGCACTCTACTCCCACAGAGTAAACGTGTGGAGTCCCTTTCTCAAACCATACTTTTATTGTCCCGAGGTGACACTTTAATCCCCAAACTCTCATGCTTAACTGGTAGTTTTTCTTTCCTTTCTTTCTCTTGAAAGATTCCATTCATGTTTAAAACTCTGCAATGCGCATGTTTGTGTGGGTGGGTGTGGTGTTGCTGCAGTCAGAAGATGGCGGTGGATGCCCTGGAATTGGAGTTAGAGGTGGCTCTGAGGCTTTGGACACCCAAGCTGAACTCAGGTCGTCTGGAAAACAGTGCTCTTAACCGCTGAGCCATCTCTCCAGCCTCCCAGAGTTCCTTGCTTCTTAGAAATAATGGCATTGGAAATTCAATGTACTACAGTAATATAATTTCTCAAATAAGCTAGCTAGAGCACTCAAAAGTAACAGCTACACTTCAGAAATAAGAATAACTTATGAGCCCAAAGGAACTTAAGGTATATGAAGTTGCAAAATTCATATAATCACCAGTGAAAACTGAATGGTTTTAGGAAACACCAAGTCAATTGACAATACAAAGTATGATGCTGCACCGAACATTAGGTCCATTATGCTGTTTTGTCAAGTTTTTAATAAGCACCTACTATGCAGCAGCCACTCTATATATAAAGTAGACACTTTATTACTTCTTTCAATCATTGGCATGATGCCACACAATGGCTATCAATACTTACTGTATCCTGTACTGTTCTAAATACCAAAGAAGAATGTTACAAATTCCCTGCCCTCACCAAACTCATATTGGAAAAAACAAAGACAATCCAATAAAACAAATCTTTCAGATAAGCAGTGAGTGTTACAAAGAGAATCCCAGCTGAAAGCTGTAGTGGAGCAGAGATAAATACTGGTTAAGGTCCCCTCACTGAGAAGCTCACATCTCAGCCTCAGCCAAGTAACAAGCAGTCAGGAGGAAGCTAGGAGCAGCAAACATAACCCACTTTAGTGACAGAGGGATTGGCAAACCTAATGAGGATGCTACATGCCAAATGAGGAGGACTGTGGTATAATGGGAAGTCAGAAGAGAAAGATGCTGTATCATGGAAGACCTTGTAAGAACATGGTGGAGAACTTGGATTCTATTCTACAGGATAAGGGAAACCAATGGAGGGCTTTAAGCAAGGAATTATGTGACCTTCTAGAAGATCACACGGCTAACAACCCATCAGAGTAGTAATAGGAAGCAAGGAAATGGGATAGCAGTGGAAAGGGTTCATGCGAAAATGTAAACTGTATACAATGAGATATGGTGTCAACATCTTATTTTTACAGTGGGAGACATTTTGTCCTCATTCTCAAATGACAAGATACAATTTACAAAGGGCAAGAACCTGCAGCAGCATGTCCCAGGTCACGTGACTACAGAGACACAGGGTGCAGGTTCAAATTTAGGTCCAAGTCCAAAGCTTATGACTTTCCCACATTTCCTTGGTGCCTTTGATTTGCAAGCAAATTAACATGCAGATCAAATAAAAACCATGTTTTCTGGTAAACTAATACAAAGCAGCACTAATATCCTCATATATTGGCAAAGGGTTTAGGAACAGCTTATAGCCGTTGTATGCCAACACTGCCTAAGTCCACCACAATGGGACCCAGCAACAGTTCACTCCAGTAGGCTTGCTATTTAAAGTCAACTTTATGACTGCCCTAGGGATGTTCCCACCTACCTTGCTTTTTTCGAAGTCAAAGCTTTGTTTTCATTCAGCTTCCTTCCACCACTTTCTATATATTAAAAAAGCAGAAATATAAATTTACTTATGTGAATCTAACATATAATGTTAAATATGTATATAACAAATGCTTAGGAATTAGTTTAAAAGTTCACTCTTTGACTTTCTACTAATAAATTACCCTTTATCTGATTTTTTAAAAAATCCTCATATAATAGCCCAGTTCTTAATAAACATTTGTATAAAATATAATTGCCTTATTACTTAGTCTCAAAGTAGTGTTTTGGCAACAGCCTACATTTTCTTTGTATCTGTAACATCTTTCTACTTTTTTTTTTTTTTTTTGGTTTTTCGAGACAGGGTTTCCCTGTGTTGTTTTGGAGCCTGTCCTGGACCAGGCTGGTCTCAGAACTCACAGAGATCCGCCTGCCTCTGCCTCCCAAGTGGTGGGATTAAAGGTGCGCGCCACCACCGCCCGAAACTAGAGGCTCCATTGTTAGTGAGGATGAGGAGGAGTCTCTTAGCAACAACAAAAAAATGGGTAGAGATCTCCGGGCTTGACCCAAAAAGAGGGACTCCGGTCAGAATCGGTTATATCCTTCTCAGTCAGACCTAGAAAATGGAAGGAGCTCAGACTCAGACTTGTCAGAGTCTGAGAAGGAACGGTTACTTGCTGAGATAGCAGCCCTTAAAAAAGAACTAAAAAAGACTCCAATTAAGAAAAGACAGGACAGGGAGAGAAACCCTTCTGCATACTCTGAAAAAAGGGACTCCTCCTACGATACAACCCAACCCTTCTTGGAGCTCAATGGAAGACCCAAAGGAGGGGTCCAATACTGCCTGGTGGTGGCCCTGGTAATAGAAGCTCCAGACCCGAACAATTCTGGGCAGGTCATTCGGCGTCATAACCCTTTAAGTTTTAAAGATATAAAACAACTTAAAGAGGCAACTTTAAATTATGGAACGCAGGCTCCCTTTACGCTTTCCTTAATGGAATCTTTTGCGTCTCTTAACTTGACACCTAGTGATTGGCAGCAGCTTTGCCGAGCGACTCGATCTGGGGGAGATTATTTGATTTGGAGGGGTGAGTTTCAGGAAAGATGCAGCCAGACAGCCCAAAGAAATGCACAGGCTGGACAGCCCCAGAGAAATGTGGAGATGCTTACTGAGAGTGGTCAATACACCACCATTCAGTAACAAATGCAATATGACATCGCAGTCTATGCCCAAGTGGCAGCAGTGGCCCAAAAGGCTTGGAAAGCATTGCCTTCCAAGGAAGGAGAGGGTCATCTGTCCAAAGTCCTTCAAGGACCCTCCGAACCTTTTCAAGACTTCGTAGACCGTCTCAGTCAGGTAGCAGAAAGAATATTTGGGGGCATTGGGCCTGCAATTTCAAAAGCAGATGGCTTTTGAAAATGCAAATAAATATTGTAAGTAAGCCCTTCGCCCCTATCGCAATAAAAGTCTAAATGACTATATCCGGATATGTGGGGACACTGATGGGAACTTCATCCAGGGCCAAGTGTTAGCTGCTGCTATTCAGCCCCAAGTGGGGAAAGAAAGACCTACTCTGGGAGGGAGAAAAACATGTTTCAGATGCGGTAGGGAGGGACACTTCCGTAGAGAGTACCCTCAAAATAGTACTACGGGTCTCAAGAGACTTGGTTTATGCTCCCGTTGCCGAAGGGGATATCATTGGGCTAATGACTGCTACTCTAAAACTGACCGGGAGGGAAATTTCCTTCCTGCTAATAATAATCGGGGAAACTGGAGGAGGGCCCCGCCCCAGGGCCCCAAAACCAATGTGTACAGGGCAATGACCCCTGATCTGGGCAGTGGCAGGATTGATTTTCTCCCCCAGAGCAACCCCTTCATATCTCAGACCTCCTTAGAGCCACCTCAGGGAGTGCAGGATTGGACCTTGGTCCCTCCGCCCGGGCAATCCTAACACCAGAAATGGGGATCCAGGCCCTCCCTACTGGGGTGCATGGGCCATTGCCCCCAGGCACCCTTGGACTACTCTTGGGACGGTCCAGTACTATTCTTCGAGGCATCCAGGTACACCCCGGTGTTATAGACCATGATAGTGAGGGAGAGATTAAAATAATGACATCAGTGGGCAGTGGAGTTGTTGCCATCCCAGCAGGAGAACAGATTGCTCAGTTACTCCTCCTCCCTACAGCTCCTTGTGAGGCTCGAAAAATTAAAAAGAAAAAGGGCAACCAAGGTTTTGGAAGTACCGGCCCAGCAGTATTTTGGGTAGCTACTATGGAGAACCGCCCCCAGCTTACATTAAGGATAGAAGGCAAGTCCTTTAGGGGCGTCTTAGATTCTGGGGCAGATGTCTCTGTCTTCTCAGATAAATTCTGGCCCCCTGCCTGGCTGAAAGAGGAAGGGACAGTGACCCTCCAGGGAATAGGACAGGCTGTGCCTCAAAAAAGCCTCAGAATCCTAAAGTGGCAAGACTCTGAGGGCCACACAGGGCTTTTTCAGCCATATGTTTGGTCTGGCCTCCCTATTAACCTCTGGGGACGGGACCTCATCCAAGAAATGGGAGTGGTCCTCACCACCCAGGCACCCAAGTCCAAAAGCAGGGGCCCCAGATGATGCAAGGAAGGGGCTGGAGTCCGGGGAGGGGACGAAGTAAACTAGAACAGGGAGAGATTTGCCCTGTGGCATCCTTCCCTTTGGAGACCAGGGCTCCAGGGGATAGGAAGGGTTTTGGTCATTTTTGATGAGGGTCACTGTTGCGCCGACAGCCCCCATATCCATCACATGGCTATCGGATGATCCGGTATGGGTGGAACAGTGGCCCTTACCAGCAGAGAAACTAAGGGCGGCTCACCAGCTAGTTCAAGAACAATTGGAGGCGGGTCATTTGGTTCCTTCCACGTCCCCTTGGAATACCCCGATATTTGTAATTAAAAAATCTTCAGGGAAATGGAGGTTACTACAAGACTTGAGGGCCGTGAATGCGACCATGCAGCCTATAGGGGTGCTCCAGCCTGGCTTGCCCGTGCCTGTGGCCATTCCTAGAGACTGGCATTTGATTGTCATTGATTTGAAGGATTGCTTCTTTTCTATTCCCTTGCATTCTCAAGATAGTCCTCGGTTTGCATTTAGCCTTCCTGCAGTTAACTTTAGGGAGCCTGCCCTTGGCTTCCAATGGGTGGTGCTCTCCCAAGGGATGGCTAACAGTCCAACAATATGCCAGATTTATGTAGCTGCCTGTTTAGATCCCCTCAGACGTAAGTTCCCTGATCTTTACATTATTCACTACATGGATGATATTATTTTGCCCGTGGCCGAAGAAAGACAATGTTACATAGCCTTTGCAGAGCTACAGGAGCTTCTGGAGGCCTGCGGATTTATTTTGGCTCTGAAAAGATCCAAAAGAGACCCCCTTATACTTATTTGGGTCATCAAATTCAACAAACTGGCCTCCGGCCACAAAGACTCCGAATCAATTATTCAAATTTAAAAATGCTTCATGATTGGCAGAGATTTTTGGGAGAGGTGCAGTGGTTTTGCCCTTCTCTTTCTATTAAAACAGGGGCTCTTAAAGCTGTTTACGATATTCTTCCTGGGGATCCTGCTACAACTTCCCCTAGACAGATTACCCCAGAGGCCAGGGAAGCCCTACAATTGTTGTTAAAAAGTATAAAGCAAGCCCACCTTCGGCGCATAGATTATGGGCAGCACCTTGTTCTGGTTGTACTTTCATCTAGCTTTTTGCCCACTGCCGTGTTTTGGCAGACTAGTCCTATTTATTGGATACATTTGTCAGCCTCCCCTAAAAAGGTAGTGGCCCCTTACTATGATCTGATTTTACAATTGTTGTGGAAGGCGCACAAGTTTAGCATTCAAACCTTTGGAAAGAGTCCTGATAAAATTATCCTTCCTTATGGTAAGGAGGAGGTGGAACATCTACAGATCTTCCATGATGGGTGGACCCTGTTTATTACATCTACAGGTGCCCAGTTTGATAGCCATTATCCCAATAGCCCCTTGATGTCTTTTTTTAAACAACACCCTGTGATTTTTCCCAAGATTTTAAAGGAGAACTCTCTAGCTGGAGCTCGCTCAGTCTTTACAGACAGCTCCTCCAAGGGTTTCGCGGTGGTGGTTTCTTAGGTGCAGAAGAGAGTACCCATAGGGCAGATGTCAGCACAAGCTGGCGAGTTGTTTGCTTGCTTGATGGCTTTCCAAATGTTTGAGGGAGAGCCCTTTAATTTATATACTGATAGTGTTTATGTTGCCAACATTGTTAGACCTTTAGAAACTTCTCCATATGTTCTTCCAACCTCCCCTCCCAGGTTCGTTCTTTATTAGTTCAGCTCCAACATCTTATTTGGCAGCGCATCTACTCTGTTTATGTGGGATTTATTCATGCATATACTATACTAACCTTCCAGGACCCCTTGTCCAGGGCAATCAAATTGCTGACTCCTTGACCCGCCCTAGGGTCTTATTTACTCAGGAGCAGCTTGCCCACTAGCTACATGAGCGGTATCATCTAAATGCCCGCTCCATTAAATTTCACACTGGGTGTCCCTTATCCATAGCTACACAGATTACCTCTCAGTGCCCTGATTGTGCCCTTTATCATAATTCTCCCAATGAGGGGATAAATCCCCAGGGCCTCAGGGCCAACCATCTCTGGCAAATGGATGTCACTCACCTGCCGCAGGCAGGGAAATTAAAATACATGCATGCTTAAACTTATTTTTGCCTCTCTCCACTCAGGAGAGAAGATTAAAGATGTTATTTCTCATTGCCTGCAGGCCTTTGCCTACATGGGCATTCCCGATGCCCTAAAAACGGACAATGGCCCTGCCTATGCCAGCAATCGCTTTGCTGCCTTTTGCAGGGTACATCACATTGTCCATTCTTTTGGTATTCCTCACAACCCCACAGGACAGGCCATTGTGGAGCGCACCCATGCCACTCTCAAACAATATTTTAAGAAAATAAAAAAGGGGGGAGTATTTGACCTCCCCCAATATTCAGTTATCCACCATACTTTACATTTAAAATTTTTTGACCATAGACCGTAATAATTTGTCTGCTATGGAGAGACATTGGAACAAACCCTCCCAGTCTTTGGGATGGGTCAGATGGAAGGATTTGATTACAGGAAAATGGCAGCCACCCACTCCCCTACTAGCTAGGGTCCGAGGGGCTGTTTGTGTTTTCCCTCCAGGAAGTGAGAAGCCCATTTGGGTCCCTGAACGGTGCATCAGGCATGTCGACCCCAATACTACTCCGGATACTAGGAATGCTCACCATGATAAAGATGATCCAACCATTGCCGAACACTCAGGTAAGGGAAGTATGGGTGCTGGTGAGGATCCCCCCCCCATGTTGATGCCAGTTAGTCATTCCAGCTCCCTGTTCATCAATTTTTATAGCACCAATAATACATTGGGAACGGCTGCTGCCAATGAGAGATTAAAAAGTCAGAAACTAAGCATTCTGAGTTTCCCCCCTCCTAAAGGGGAATCTCTGTTTTATTAAAAATATTTAATATCTCCTAGATTAAATCTCTAGGCCTTAGCCTGACACCAAGGTCGGGAAAGAGGGAAACCCGAGAAATTGCCCTCAGTTGGAGGGTGGATTGTGTAAATCTTAAGGCTTTTTGCCTGAGGGAACATCCTGGGTTGGAGGATGGTTTGAAAATGGGTGAATAGCCAGGCGTTGGCGGCACACGCCTTTAATCCCGGCACTCGGGAGGCACAGGCAGGCAGATCTCTTGAGTTCAAGGCCAGCCTGGTCTACAGAGCAAGTTCCAGGACAGGTTCTAAACAATACAGAGAAAACCTGTCTCAAAAAAAAAAAAAATGGGTGAATCAAAACAAAAAAAATTGGTAACAGTAAAGAGGTACTGGTATTAAGTAAAGAAAAAGAAAAAGACAAAGGTATATGGAATGGAAAATTTTGTTTGCATTTAAGGTCAATTTTGTGAGTCACCTCTAAAAACTTTGGCCAAAAGCCTGGCCTCTCCACCTTGCATCTACAGAGTTACAAGGAGTAGGTACGGCTGTACCCCATGACTATAGCTCAAATGGAGGAATGCTGAAGGGCATATAAGACTTTTTAACCTTTTTAGTTCAAGGATTGGCTGGAGTTGTTCTTTTACATAGATTTTTTTTTTTTTTTTTTTGGTTTTTCAAGACAGGGTTTCTCTGTGGCTTTGGTGGCTATCCTGGAACTAGCTCTTGTAGACCAGGCTGGTCTCGAACTCACAGAGATCCTCCTGCGTCTGCCTCCCGAGTGCTGGGATTAAAGGTGTGCGCCACCACCGCCCGGCCTTTTACATAGATTTTAATTAAGGAAGTTTCATTTCAACAAACTAATCATGACCTAGGGAAAAAAGATGACCAAAAGATGCATGTATGTTCTGAATGTATGGTGTGGCCACACCGGTATGTATGAAATGTGATTGTGAATGCGTGAGTGTGAACTGCTTTCATGATTAAAAGGATACTTAAATCCCTTCAAAAATAGTTAAAAAGCTACCTAAATTGCTTTAGATATAGCCAAAAGGAACATCCAGCCAGTCGGTTAATGTTTTAACAGAAAAGTTAAGATGAAAATGAGGCCTTGTCAGCTAGTGAGAGCTCTACAGGTTAGATTGGGAAAGACTGCTCAGAGACTTCAAATAATTTTCAAAAGTTATTTGGGACACAGTATAGATTACAATCTTTGATTGATTTTCAGAAGTTTTTGGCAAATACTTAATGGATATGTCCTTTTTAAAGGGCATCTACAAATAATCTAGGTAGTGATCCCAATTCACCTAGACAGTTAACCAAGGAGGGTAGACAAATCATTCTACTGTTATGGTCCAGCTTCAACAGTTCAAAAAAAATTAGAAAATAAAAAAGGGGGAATAATGTCCCCAGTCCCCACATGACTCATCAAATAATACACTCCTCATTTAAAAAATTTAAAATGTGAATGCCAGTGAGCAATCTGCTTCTGACAGATTCTGGCATGATGGAACTTGAGCAACTATTGCTCAGGTCAAATGGAGACATCCATGCACTAGACAGTGGAGAAGGCCCTAATTTGGGGTCGAGTGTATGCTTGTGTTTTCTTGCAGGAAAAGAATAAAGCTTCAGTAGGTGTCACAACATTTGGTGAGATGCATGGAGCAGAGAAAAACTGGACCTGAGACCATGGAAGCCCACCTAAGCCAGTTTGAGTGAGATCTCCTAAATCAGTGTTCCTGACCCTTGATGTCATCGAATCTACAGCCCGAGAAAGAAGGAAAACAGTCGGTTCGAGATTTCCAGTTTCTCAACAGGCCTGCTGCATCAACCTCCTGGACCTCTGAGTTTTCATCCCAAAGCCAACAGAGAACTGGAAAGACTAACTGTCTGCCCTTGACACACCTTGAAACAACAGAATTCATTTTGCCAGTTTTTCCCTTTGGGGGAAAAAAGGACCCATTTAAAACATTTGGACATTGGTATGGACTGTGATGAGTGGCAAAAGCCTCTTTTCAGTATTTGAACAGGACATGGTCACTTGAAATATCAGACTTGGTGGTTCCTGTTTCTTCAATCGTGCTTATGCCAGTGTATTTATTTGGAGAAATGCAACTTGTTCTAATGCGACAAAAAGGAGACTTTTGGCTCAAGTCGCATATTCAGCTGAGGCTAGTGACGTTAAATCAACAAACTGCATCACCAAAGGAACAAATTGGTGTTCTGTGGATAGTGCAACAAGCCCTATTGTTCATATTTTTCATAATGCTACATGTGTAACATCAATGATTGTACCTAATGTATCTGTGCAAGTGCACTCTCTAAATGCTTTCCTGAGATCTTGGAACGATTGTAAACTTTATCACTGTTTTGACCATCAAATTGTAACATGCAGGTTACCCTTGTAACTGAGGAAGGCTGGTAGAATGTTATGGCCCAGATCTGGTGATGGGTACGGTGATGGAGAGGCGCTATATCAATGGGGGTCCTGGAAATGGTGGCAGTGGCAGTAGGCATTCTGGCTTTATGCCGAGCTCAAACATGCCTTGTTCCAGAGGCAAGAGGTCCATAACCAAGCATTGCTTAGCGTAGCCCATGGCAATCCCGATAGCCATGAAGTTTGGTTACAGATGATTTAAGGATGAGGTTCTTTCGTTGACGGGCAACCTGTGGGGAAGACCCCTCCCACCTAAGACAGGGGTTCAAGGTCCCCCAAAGACGGGCAAGGGAGGGTGACCCTACTTGACCTAAGCCAGGAGTGCCTCATTAGAAAATAAAAAAGGGGGAATTGTGGGGACATCAGACCTTGAGCAGAGACCCACTTCCCCATCGGCCTGGGAGTAGGCAGCTGTAAGACAATGTTTACTAAAAACATGTTTACTAAAAACAATATAATGTCTGGGGCAATAAGTTCCTGAAAAGGGCTGGCCCACGGGAACCGCCCTGACCTCGACCTTCTCCAACGACTAACCGCCTCTTCTGACACACCCAAATCAGTTTGTGGTGTCAGGGCAGAACCAGCCAGGGGTAGAGAGAGAGCAGAAGCCTTTCTGGAGGGAGCCTTTCTTGGGAAGTTTTCTTGAGCCTTTTTGGGGCCTGCTTAAAGTTTTCTTTACACCATTGAACGAGTCTCTGTGTTGTCAATCCCCAACACCTTCCACACATCCTCGGACACAGGCTGCGCAGCGGACGCGGCAGTGTACTTTTTGTTTGTTTGTTTGTTTTTCAGAGACAGGGATTCTCCTGTAACACTGGCTGTCCTGGAACTCGGTAGTGTATACCAGACTGGCCTCTTTTGAAATCAAGAGACTTGCCTACTTCTGTCTCTTAAGTGCTGGAATTAAAGGTGTGCATCAATACGCCTAGTCTGCTATATGTATTCAGTAAAAAAGCAAGAATAGTTCAAATTTGTTCAAGAACATGAAATTTAGATGTGGGAAGGAAATTTAAATACAGACCTTATTAAGCTGAATCAAATAGACACACAATGAAATAATTTAATAATTTTACTACTTCTTGACTATATTAGGAATCCATATATGTAACTAGATGATGAAAAAGAAGATATAAAATCACAGGGGAAACACAGTACTCTTTAGTGTTTAATCGGTGAGATAAACTGCATTTAACATTTCATTTTGCTAATAGTAAAACACTAAAACAGGGTCCATAAGTAATTGATCCTGTTGCTATTTCCTAATAGGAAACAATACCTGTGGTGTTCCGTGCACCATCTTTCCACGTATCTGGAGTGATAACTGTGCCGAGTTTCTTTTCACCTGTTGTAGCAAGATAGCAAAAGAGAAGTAGAATTATCATCTAATAAACATACTGTGTGGAAATGAGATAATGAGCCCATTTCTAATTTTAAAATAAAAATTTGGAATAATAATATCAAGCTGGGTGGTGGTGGCACATGCCTTTAATCCCAGAACTCGGGAGGCAGAGGCAGGCGGATCTCTGTGAGTTCGAGGCCAGCCTGGTCTACAGAGCGAGCTCCAGGACAGCCTCCAAAACAATACAGAGAAACCCTGTCTCGAAAAACCATAAAATAAAATAAATATCATGCCTGAGGTTCATAATGATATCAAGTCAGATTACAGTAGGAACCTACTAACTGGGGTGGAAGCCAGTGAATGAAGACTTAAGATAGTAACTGTGGGCAATGGATAACTAATTCTGAATAAGTTGCTTTCACTGTTTATACTTTCAACAATTCTGACAAACTTATTCACTCTTTCAACATTTCCTAATCACCTAGTATGTATAAAACACTATGCAAGATAATGATGAAAATAAAACCACTAATCTAGATTTCAGGGGGCTTATACCCAAATTCACTAGTTTCCTAAGAGTTTATAGGCAGATCATAAGAAATAAATGAACCAGATGGAACTGTATACAAATATGTGTGTTTCTATTTTTCTTTAAAAAATTATATATACATATATGTATATATGTACATATATATATATGTATAAGTGTTCATTAGATTTTCAAATGTGATCAGAGACTTTGACTGGGAGCCAATGGAGACAGTTTAAGCACCTGACAAGGCAAATATGAAGAAGATGAAGTCAAACTACATAGATAAAGGACAGATCATGAGGAAAGGCATGGGGCGTACATCAGACCTAAGGAAATCTGGCTAACTCAAGTGTGAAAGGGATAAACGCTGTGAAAATGAGGTTGGAATGGTAAGCCAAGGCTTTATCTGTAAAGGGTCTCAAACATTCAAAATCGTTACCTTTCACTGTTTAAGTAGGGAAAAGGTCAGGGTGGAGAAGTGAATTTGATTCTCAATGGTATAGATGTGCTAGCTGAGGCAAACATTCCCCAAAGACTTTATGGAGCCAGAGAAATAAAGTAGACCAAAAACCACAAAAAAAAAGATAAAGACAACAACAAACCCAAAATAAAAACAATAAAAAATCCTGCAATTTAGTAAATGGAAGACTACTGGTGTAAGTTTAAAAGTTTTTTGTTTGGTTTGGTTTTTCGAGACAGGGTTTCTCTGTATTGCTTTGGAGCCTGTCCTGGAACTTGATCTGTAGACCAAGCTGTCCTGGAGCTCACAGAGATCCGCCTGCCTCTGCCTCCCAAGTGCTGGGATTAAAGGTGTGGGCCACCAAAACCTGGCTTAAAAGTTCGTTTAGTAGTATGGAAAGTCAGTTTGTACTTCTAAAGTTATTAAGAAGTAGCTCTAAAAGTCTGGAGGCAAACAACTTTTTTGAACACTTGACACAGGAAAGACAGGACTGTGGTGGCCGCTTTTGTGTGAGCATGATCTCAGCTTACTTGCAGGGTGAGTCTGACAGCAGACTGGGAGGTTAAAAATAAGAAAACCTTAGGTTTTTGTCAGAAAAGCAGAGAAGTAGATAGCAAGAGGAAGAGATGCCTTTTACCGCACGTATTAAAGTCCAAAGTACGTGCATTTTATGTTAACACCACAACGGACCTTGGATTCTCAAAATTTTTATGTTCCTTGGAGATATTAACTGACAATTTCCTACTATCCTCAATGTCTGCTGGGACAAAGCACTTGAAGTATAAAGGGAATTACAAACACATGCAAGTAGACAGAACTTTTGTCATCTATTATTAAATGAACACAACTGACAAAAATTACAAAGACGACCCATATTACACAGCATAAAAGGATAGGTACACAATATAAATACATTTAAGCTACATTTGATCAAACATCTCCCCCACTTTCAAAAAGAGTTAAGAAAATGTTGCTTAAGGATGGAGGCTGGGCCTGATGAAGCAGGCCTGTAATTTTGGCTACTTGGGGTTGTCTGTGCCCAGAGTTTTATGAGGGGATATAAACAAAACTGATCACTGTTAGACGATAATTGGGATACAGAATTAGAATCCTGTGTCTAGCCCGAGGAAAAGAGATTGAGATAGGAAAGTTATTTTTTAAACCAATCAAGTTTTTGCGGTTAAAAAAATGAAATATTTTCAACAAATCCCACAGGATTTACTAGAATTACTGAATGGTAACTAAAAAGCTTAAGAAAACCTTTCTAAAAGCCAGGTGTGACTACGATGATGAGACTTTCTCTTTCCCCTGAACCAACGCTGCGGGTATGAATGAAAAAAATGGACGGGATGGTACAAAATATGCAGTTAAACTTAACCTGTATTAAATGTTGCAGTTTTTAAAAAAGTCAAGATTCAAAAACTTCACGGGACAAATCGATAGCACCAGAAACGATTCCTTGTTTATAATCTTAAGACGTTAACTGAGGGCCTGGGATTTATCCGTGCTACACCGGGCAAACTCTCGCTGCTCCCGGGAAGATCTTGAAGATCCGTTTTAAGCCTCCTGGAACCAAGTCAGGAAGTTGCAACTGAAGAGACGCAGGAGAAGGGCGACAGAAACAAACACAGAGTGCAGGCCTGACGCCGCTCTGAACACAAAGCACAGAACTTCGTGGTCCCTGGCACAGGCCGGGGTAACCGGAGGAAAGACAGGGGTCACAGCCACAGCCCCAAGCAGAAGCAGCGAAGGCCGAGATCGCGTGGGAATTTCGTCAGGCTCCTCCTCCCACAGCATCGGACCCCTTGACTTACACTTTTCGCACACCATCCTGCCACGAACCGTCCCCTCAACAACCTAAGCGGGAGCCGCCGCCAAGAGACATCAACAACACAGCCTGAGAACGCTTCCCCTTCCGGCTACGGCAGCTCGCTTCCGCTTTCCCCACTTCCGGCTCCTGCCTCTCCGGCCCTGGGACAGCCGCGGGAGGGACCAACGAGGGCAGGTGGGCGGGGCTTCCTTCGTTGTCCCGCCCCTCCTCTCTAACGATTGGTTGTGAGCTTGGTAGTCCCCACCTCCTGGGTCTGCGCCTGCGCGTGGGCCATGGCAGGCTGTCGCACCTGAGGAGGGTGGGAGGCGGTGGTGTCCCCTTCCTTCCCTGCGGCGGGCGGGAGAGTTAGGTAAGCCGGCCGCCTGCACCTCACGCTCGCCCGGGGCGGGTGCAGGCCCCTCTGCCGACTGCCGCGGTGGCCTCCGGAACGCCACACTTCCTGCGGACCGGAGGATGTCCGCGCGCGGGACGGACCCTCTGGGATCCCGGCATCGGTCCGTCACTGTGTCCGGTCACCCGGGTGGGCAGCGCCGGATGTCTGTCTGTCTGTCTCCCTCTCTCTCTGTTTCCCCCTCTCCTCTCTCTGATGACGCCTCTCACTGCCCACACTCCCGCCGCCCGAGGTAGGGGCAGCATCCCGAGCCTGCACCTGGGCAAAGGAGGGCTCGGAAGCAGCCGCGCCCTCCGACCGGTTCGCGTCGGATCGTGACTCCAGTTGGTGGCTCCCATAGGTCTGGAGTGCTGAGGGACCTCGGGACCCGCCAGTGTTGGCCATGGCTCCATCCAGCAAGCCTTGGCGTTTGGGTGCCGCTCGCTGTGCTAGATCAGGATCTACAGGCGGCCCCAGAAGCGCTCTCTACTCAGGATGGAGTCCCGGTATTCCGCCCTCCCCATCCCGGCCCGGGCACTGGAGGGAAGAATCCGAGAAACTTTGCCCAAGTCTTTTCTTGCTATCTATCCGGTCCTCTCCGGCCCTTGCAGAGTGTCTTGATGTTTGAGGAGGGTGTGCTTGAAATGGCTTTAGTGTGTGTAACCTTGGCCGCGTCTGCTGACTTGTTCTTCCGGTTTGCTTAATCAGTAGTATCATATTTGCCTTTGAAAACGATTGTGTGAATTAAACGAGGGCTGATAGAACGGTGCCCAAACTTGCTCTTTTACCTTTCAGGCCAGTTCCTCTTCCCTGCTGTGTGAACGTTTCTGTTTGGGCGGGAATTTTACCGCTATGTAACTTGTATTGCTTTAAGTTCTTTCTTAACTTTAACCACTATAACGCATAATTAGGGCAAATATATGTACATAGAGACCATAAAACGTTTGTTTCTCCTCCCACTCATGTTCTGCTTTTTGACTAGAACTTTACTGTCTGTGACAGTGTTACTTTGTTTTTCCAGGAGCTTTGGGAGCCCTTAGATTAACATAGTGACCATCTAACTATTGTTCTCAACACCATTTGCATATCCAAGTGTATATTTGGTTGGCATTTGGGAACTACAGTGATTTTATCTTCCTGATCTTGGCCAAAAAACGGAAAAGAAAATAGTAAAATTAGTGGCTTAATTGTCTCTATGCCCCCGTTGCAGAAATCAGTCATGAATATTTAAATTTTTACCGAATTTTTTAAGGCTCTGTATCATTTTAGAAAAATCTAAAGTAACAGAATATCAACTCTGTCTTCTGTTCTTTGAAACAAATATATTGTCCATAGAAAATAAAATATTAAGTGTTTGGGACATGGAGAAAAGTTATTACATGTTTTTCTTAATTTCTTTTCTACTAGATAGCTACCCAAGAAAACACCATGAAAGATACTGACATCAAGAGACTGCTGTATTCCAATCTTTTGTGCGTATTTTCAGTTTTCCTAAGCGTTTTTATTCCATCCCTCTTCCTGGATAACTTCTCAATACTGGAAACTCACCTGACCTGGCTGTGCACGTGTTCTACTTCTGTGACTGGTGTCAATCTCCTGTTACATTTAGTAGTGAAACCAAATGTGTCTTCTAGAAGAAGTTCCTTATCACACAAGGTAAGGCATACTTATTAATAACCAGTTTTGAGATGGAAGTAATAGTGTAAGAATGATTCATTGTGCCAGGCCTTGGTGGTGCATATGTCTTTAATCCCAGCACTCAGGAACCAGAGACAGGTGGATCTCTGAGTTCTTTGAGGCTAGCCAGGTTTGCAGAGCTAATTCCAGGATAGCCAAGGCTACATAGGGAAACCTCTCCTGAAGGAACAAAACAAAGAATGAAGTATTGTTATATCCTTATTGAGTTATTTTCAGCATATAAAGAGAACCAAATCACCCCCCCAAAGCAGTAGCCTGTCACCTACAATGTTTGATAGATATTTGTTGTGCATTAATTGTGGAATTATGGCTCTTTCAATCACAATATAAATATGACCCTATATACTCGTTGTTTTATATCATCACTGAAGATAACTTATAAGAATCTGCAGTTTATTTTCATTTATTTTTGTACTTTTTTTTTTCCGAGACAGGGTTTCTCTGTATTGCTTTGGAGGCTGTCCTGGAACTCGCTCAGTAGACAAGGCTGGCCTCGAACTCACAGAGATCTGCCTGCCTCTGCCTCCCAAGTGCTGGCATTAAAGGCGTGAGTCACCAATGCCCAGCCTATTTTTGTACTTTTTAATGTGTTGAAGTGGATGGGTGGATTACACTGTGTGCAAATGCAAGGGGGGGGGAGGGTGGGGAGGGGGACAGCTTCATCTTTAGAAACACGGTTTACCGGCTCTGCACGGGGTCACTCACTGTCCTGGAGTTCACCAATTAGGCTAGGCTGGACTGGCTGGCCAAAGAGCCCCAGAGGTCCTTCTGTCTCTCCCCAGTGCTAGGATTACAAACATGCCCCTTACCTAACATTTTACTCTGGTTCTAGGAATCAATTCAGGTCCTTGTTGCTTATTGACTGAGGTGTCCCCAGCCTGTGTACATTTTAAAAATTTGTTTTTTTATTCTTTGATAACTTCATACAGGCACACAATGTGTTTTGATCATATCCATCCCCTACTCCTACTCTCTGCCCAACTTTGTATCCTTTTTGTTGTTGTCCTCGTGGGGACGTCTACTGGAGCGTGGTCAGCCCCCAGGGACCACACTCCTGAGGAAAACTGACTCTCTTTGCCTTAGTAGCCGCCATCTGTCCATAGCTCCCTCAGCAAGGGGTTGAGGCCCTCCTTAAATAAGAAGTGAGATTTCTAGAGCTTGCACATTAAGTCATTGTAACTGTGACTTCACATGTGGCCTTCCTTGACTAAACAGTAAAGAGTTTTCAGATATTAGAATCAATTTTTTTTTCAGAATATCACTCACTGTTCTATGACACTTGGCAATTAGCGTTTAGTTAAAATCCTCACTGAACATTCAATACTATGTATAACTCCCTATTAGAGTGTTTTCAACACCTTAAATGATTTACAGTTTAAAACATTAATATGTGTTTTATAATTATATCATCTTGAGTTTCAGATCAAGTGTCTTCCAGGCATGGACCTATTTGTAGATGTTCAAGTCCTTTTTTTCTTTTCTTTTCCTTTTTCTTTTTTCATTTTTTCTTTTCTTTGTTCTCATTTGTTTATTTTTCTTTCAAGTCTTTTTAAAAAATATTGTTTATGCAACAATATGAACATGATTTGGAAATTATTTAGTATTTTGCTTTTTGTAATTTCCCTAGTTTTGTATTAAAATGAAAGAAAAGTATAGTACTCATTTTCTGTAACTAATTCATTTGTTTTTATATAATAAGGTCACTGTGGGTTTTGTATCCTAACACTCTATTTCTTAAGTATTAATAATGTTGTAATCACACCACATAAACAGAAATCAGTTTTGGCTTTTATGCTATTGTGGGATAAAATATATTTATGTGATACTTGTCTTTTAAATTAAAAAAATATTTATTTAGTAGGGTGTGTGTGTGTGCACACGCAACACAGCTTCCATATTGAGGTTTCCATCTTGTGGGTCACAATGGTTGAATTCAGGTCATCAGGCTTGGAGGCAAGGGCCTTCACCTGCTGAATCGTCTTGCTGGCCCTGTCTTTGAAGTTTTTTGCAGTCTGATTTAAGGGCTATGTATGTGATGACATGTGATCAGATTTGAAGTTATCCAACAAAGAATGTCCAGCTGTTTCAGATGTTATGGTAAGAAGTTATATTTGTGTGTAAAACAGCAGAATTTGTGGGGTTTTTTAAAGTAATTTCTTGAGTCTTTAGCTTCTTCTTTCTCTTTTAGGTGTCCAGAGTTTTGAAATGCTGCATCTACTTTCTTCTGTCTTGTTTTTTCCTTCATATCATTTTTGTTCTATATGGCGCACCACTAATAGAGTAAGTTCTGAACACTTACTTTATGTTTTCATGTATTAATTTACTAAATGATATGCTAAGTCTTAGCAACTCTAGTAGAACCATAGTGGGTTTGATTAATGGATCAAGGTAGAAAACTCTATTATTGTCCTATTTTAGTACTGTTACATATATATATATGTATATTTATATATGTATATATATAGTAATTAATGTATTACTGTGAAAAACCTCTAGCTGTCCAACCTTTTGACATTACAACACAATATGGTCATCTACAAAATTGTATTTAAGAACCCTGTGATCATATTACCAAAATCTGACAATGTTGTAAGTTTATAATTTGGGGCATACTCATAGCTATCCTTGGATGAGGGCCGCAGGCTAGACATGCTTGATTTATGCAGGCAACTCACTATTGTGATATGTGTAAATTGGTTATAAATAGTATTTCAATGACTCAACTATGATTCGAGAGTATCTGAATTTATTTTCCTCAGGGACATAGATTCCTTTATCAAATATCAATGTTTATATTAAAATTTAACAGTCTTTAAAACTGGGCAAATTTCAAATTAGTGGGAACTAAATTCACCAATGTTTGTTATATGATACATTTCATTTTACCATTGATTAAATGACAATGGTGAAGTCAGGGGTTATACATTCTCATACACACATAAAGCTACAGATGCAGACATACAGACACAGTTGTATACACACAATAAACTAACATCATTCTGTTTTAGGCAGGGCAGGAAAGTCTTTGTCATGAAAAATGGTTTCATTTAATCCATTTTAAGAGAATCAGTGAATAGACAAATTGTTTCATAGTTCAAAATTTTATCAAAATGTAAATTGTTAGACTTCAATCATAAACTCTTGAGGTGAAACTTACTGTCTTTAGTTTTAATCTCTTCATGTGGTTAAAAAAAAAGCAGTTCAACTTTAGGAGTTCTGGGGATTGTTAAGGAAGAAAACTACCTAAAACTGAGCATTTTGGTTATTTTGTTTTACAAGAAGGCCTCAGTATGGATCTTTAGATTTTTAACATTTTTGAAATTTATGATTAAAAGCAGGTAATTTGCTAAGACGTTTCTGAAGCTAGTAGAGTAATTTAGTCTTATTTAGTGGGTCTTAGGTAGTTTTCTGGAGTAAAGTATAAGCAGATATTTGAATAGAGAACACACTTAGAAAGATGACTCATGCCTGTGAATACATGTCCCTCTAATACTTCTGAAACATGAACAGGTTTTCTCTTTGATCCTAGGTTGGTGTTGGAAACGTTTTTATTTGCAGTTATCTTGTCTACTTTTACTACAGTACCTTGTTTGTGTTTGCTAGGACCAAACCTCAAAGCATGGCTGAGAGTTTTCAGTAGAAATGGGTAAGTTTAACAGTGACATTAAAAGAACTAAAGAAGTATTTTCTATTCTTGTTGGTGTATTTATCCTGTGAGTGTCTTGAGGCACTGTCCGGCTCTCAGATGTCAAAAGGGCCATTGCTCTTGGAGAATAGGGGTTGGAGGTAGACAGTGTAAGAGAACCCAACACAGAACTATAGCCTTGCCTCCACATTAGCAAGATAAAGTACTGCAAGTATAACTGCTTTTGTGCATTTCGTAACGTAGAAATGAAGCCCATAATCTAGAAATGTTTTGTGTAACCATCCCTTGTTTGTTTTTTTTGTGGTAAGATCTGAGAGTGCAAGCTTTACCAGATTTCATTTCTATAGCTGTCATTCATATATCTGCAGCATAGCTAAGTTGACGTTTTAGCTTCCTTAAAGCCATTGAAATGATAATGGTTAATTTTTAACTAAGAAAACCAGGTGAGTTAGTTCTCAACAGTTTTGTCCTATTTATTACCCAGCGGCCAAACTTCTTGAGCATTTACTCTGCGTTGCACATTCTGCTAGCTCTGTGTGGATTCCAGAATGGTCAGATCACCCGAGGAGCCGTGTGCTCACGGGCTATAAGTGAAAAGAGCAGATGAATGGTTAACATGTAATAATCCCACAATCAGTGCCGTAGAAGTAGGGGAGTAGCAAAGAACGGGGCTGACGAGGGCCTGATCGGTGGGGATTGGATCAGAAAGAAACACAGACTTTGATGAAACCAAAGGAGGGATATCTTGTGCAGGGTGCTGGGGGGAGCATAGACACCGAAGTAAACATGGTGTTGTGTGATCTGGAAACCCACAGCTGAAGGAGAACAGAGGATGGGCTCTGGGCAGCCTGTCTCTGTAAGTTACATTTTTCTTTGAGAATGAATAATGGTTATTTTATATATGTACATATAGATTTGGCTTCACTGTGTTTTATTTCATTTTTTTTTCCTGTAACAGCTGTCTACTCATAAAGTTCTTAGGAACAAAAGCATAACAACTGAATATCCCCCTACATGGTTAGTTAGCATTGTGTCTTCAATGGAGTTCATTTATTTCAGCGTGAGAATTTTAAATATGGAAACTGGCTGAAACTTTAATGGTTTATAATGATCAGTGTGGCTTTAAATTGTGTGTCTAAGTTATATATGTAAGGGACACATTGTAATCTGGTTATATAGATTATTCTTCTGTCTCTTGACCTATGTGTTCTAAAACTTACTGTACCTTGCAAAAATTGGGCAGCATGGGAAGGATGGAGTTAGAGACATAATGCTCAGAGACTTCGTTAATAACAACAACAACAAAAAAAAGCTAGGAACTTAATAAAAATGGTAGCACAGTTTTATACTGAAATTGTTCAGAAACATAAACATTGCATTAAATAATATTCTTTTCCTAGGAAAAGATTTGACATTTGTTTCTTGTCAGTTATTGTGAAGTAGTGAAAGATGGGTATTGAAAATCTGACCAAGAATTAATACCAGATGTGGATGAAAATGGTTCATGATATATTAAGTAAACTGATACATTGGGAGATATGTTTCCATATATTTTCTGAATTTATTTATTTGTGTGTATATGCACATGTGTGCATATATGTGTGGGTGTTATGTGGAGGTCAGAGAATAACTGCAGAGATTCTTTCTTCCCTTTCATCACGCGGGTCCCGGAGATTGCACTCTGGTGACAGGCTTGGCAGCAAGTGTCTTTACCTGCTGCGTCAGTTAGGTTTCTTTTGCTAGAGTAAAACACCATGACCAAAAGCAGCTCGGGGAGGAAAGGGTTTATTCAGCTTATCTCTTACAGTCATAGTTTATCACTGAGGGAATTGAAGCAGAGCCGTGGAAGAATGCTGCTTACTGGTTTTTTCTTCCTGGCGTGCTCAGTTTACTCTCCTGTATACCTTCTTGCCCCGGGATGGCACTACCCACAGTGGCTAGGCCCTCGGAAATCAATCACCAATCAAAAAAATGCCTTTGAGGCTTGCATACAGGCCAATCTGATGGAGGCGTTTTCTCAATTGAGGTTCCCTCTTAATATGTTGTAAACTTGTGTCAAGTTGTCAAAAAACTAGCCAACACACCTGCTGAGCCATCTTGCCAGTTCATGGGAGATACATTTTTAAAAACAATATTGAGATATGATTCACACCCAAACTGTCTCTAAGCAACCATGAATCTTGTTGCTCTCTCAGTAGGGTTGCCTGGTCTGGGCATTTCATTTGAATGAGTCATACAATTTGTGATCTTTTGTAACTGATTTCTCTTACTTAGCATAGTGTTTTCAAGGCTCATTCATGTTACAACATTAATACAGCATATATTGGTACTGATTTCGTTCTATAGTAGTGTTAGGGTAAACCCCGGGCCTCGTGTGCGGGAGGCAAGCAGTCTACCAACTGAGCTGCATCCCTAGCAGAAGACCCATCAAGCTTAAAGCTTGTGTGCTGATGAAACAGTTACGTCTGAAGTTGGAATGGGGGAAGAGGTAGGGCCGTGGATCTCTGAAGAAAGCACAGTTAATGATGTAATGGTTATCTCCGAGGAAAACATCTGAGAAGCTAGTAGATAAGCTGGAGAGACTTTTCACTGAAACTTTTTAGCCTGCTTGTGAAATTTGAGCCCATTCAGAATACAAACAGTGATTAGATACTGCATTGATCTCTTGGTTATTGAAAGTTAGACCTGTAAGAGGAAGCTGCTAGGTTTCTCAGACGCCACTGAAATATCACTGGACTGCAAAAGCTACCCTTCCACATCTTCCAACACACAGTTAGTTGAAGAGCAGGTAATTGGTAAACTAGAAGACCTTGACTAAAAAGAATCAGTTTGTAATACAAACCATTCCATTTACTATTGTATGGGATATGACATGAAATAATAATGAAGTAAAACCAAACAAAAGACAGCTTTTAATAACTTAAAGCATGTTCATGAACTTTGTGTTAGTCCTCAAAGACATTTCACCATGTTCTCTATGAAGGTACTGGAGATCTGGCAGTGCGTGCCTTACTCAAGTTCCACAGTCAGTAAGCAATGGAGCTGGAACTGGAATTCAGAAATAAGACGCTAGCAGTTCAGGTCAGAAAGTGGATTGGTGCCCTTTCTTACATAGTGGTCATCTCAGACAAGCCTCTTAGCCCCATGAATTCTCCTGTGTACTGTGATGAGAATAAAGTGAGTGTGAACTCTTCAGGCTTATTGTGGAGTGAGTCAGGTAATGAGTAAAACCAAAGAGCTCAACAAGTGTTTGTCATGCGCATCAACAAATGTTGGGGGCATCTGTCTGTCATATCTCCAACCCTGACTACAGTTTGTCTCTGTAATTCTGTTTGGCTTCTAAGTAGCAGCCGGACAAGTGTAGTGCATAGGTAACACAGAGGAGAATACGGCTTTGCCAGTTAGTTCAGCGTGGAGTGCGTGGACCTGTCATCATGGAGCAGAAGTTTTATGTCTCCATATTCATTAATGTAATTAGAAGCACTGGAATGAACCTAAGATGATGATCAGGTCTGTTTTGAATTGATGTGTCACCCAGCTTCAAATCAATATAAACAGTTTACACTACTTTTAAGTGAAATAACTAAGTTTTAATTTATTTATTTGTTTTTATGTGTATGGGTGTTTTGCCTTCATATATGTCTGTATACCACATGAATCCCTAGTATGTGGAAGCCTGAAGAGGTAGTCGGATCCCCCATGACTAGAATAGCAGACAGTTGTGAACTAGCATGTGGATGCCGGGACTCAAACCTGGGTCCTCTGGAAGAGCATCAGGTGCTCTTAGCCACTGAGTTCCCTGCAGCCCCTAGGTTTAATGTATTTATTTGCAAGTTCATGTAAATTCTGCGCTGAGCTGAAAATGCAAACACTTTGAACTTGAAGGTTGAGACTTATATCCTGAGAATAAAGGATCAATTCTGATATTTTTTAAATTTAGACATACTTAATTTCATTATCTTAACAGGATTTTTCCAGAAAAGTCAATGAAACCGCCCCTGAGAAAATGTTCTTGTAAAGAAACTGATGACAAAGAAGTAATTTGATTTCTTAAAATATTTTTGCCAGCTTCTTGTTGGTATGCATAATATTGGAAATACTTGATTTGTCAGAGTTTGATTTCATTTGTTGCCTTGTATTTATCACAATGTATGTTCTTTCCACTTGCAGATTATCTTATAAAGGAGAGTAGTAACCTATCATAGGGAAGTTTTGCCTTTTGATTTGTCAATTCGTTGATGCTATTGTTTAAGTGTCTGAGTAAGAACTTGATCACTTGAGCTAAATAAGTTCCTGGTTAGGACAGATGCTCAGATCAGTGGTCTTGTCAAGGTGAAAGCACACAGTAACACCTGTCTTCTATATGCAAACAGTTTTCTTTTTGTCATCTTTATATTGATACAGATTTTATATTGAGAAAACTACCATGGACATCAAGAACCAAAGATTTACTCATATAAAGATAGGTAACTTAGTCTGAATGTAGTCACATAAACTTAACAAAGATTTTAATATCTTATTAAAATTTTATTTGGTGGGGAATATTTATGCTGAAAATTGTGTAAAATACTTTCAGCCACCAGGAGGAGTTGTACCTTAAGCCTATTTTGATGAGAACCTATCTAAGACACTTGCTATTAATCGCATTCAAATGGATGATACATTGACGTACAGAAAGCATTCAAAGTGGCATATTTCAGTTGATATTTACCATAATGAATTTCAGCGAAATCAAATAATGCGGGCAGGTACATAGGCTTTATTATCATGAAGAGTGACCTATAACATTTCTTTAGTTACCTTAAAATTTTATTCATAGTATAACAATAAGCCATTTAGTCTGTTCTCAGCCCTACTGATTATGGGAAAATATTTTATAATTATGAAAGTACTTACAATAATATTATACTTTAGACAAGTTTATTATGGAAAGCTATGAAATGAAAATAAGCCAGTACCAGTCCTGCAAGAAGTTAATAGGAATTTGCCCGTTTCAATTT